GTTGCTGTTCCTCCCCCATTCATTGTAGACTGTGGTCAGCAGTCCCTATCATTATCCTCTAAAAACAGATATTATAGCAGCAAAGTGATGACAGGCATCAGCACACAGCAGATAAGTAAATTTTTTCTCTTGATGTTTCTTTGCTTCAGAGACTGTGTTGGACTCTCATCTTCAATACATCAAATTACAAACATTCAGAAAGACTTTTGAAATACTTTTTATTCCTAGGAAATGAGTGATGTTTAGATCTAAACCTATTTTTCTCCTACCCTTCTGAAGAGGATTGGATTATTCTTCATCCTGATCTTACCATAAGAATTATTAAAAGCTATTTTCATGGTGCTTTAAGCTAAATACATTGTTTTATTAAAATTATCTAGCTAAAAAAGATTATAGTTTGAATCCCTAATTCAGGAAAATATTTCCTTTTTAGAGGATTGCTTATGCTTCTAAACTAGAGCTGAACTTCAACCTGTTTTTTAAGCACACTTCTGAACCAAGTGCTAGAAAAAAATGCACGTAATCCATCTTGTATTGAAAGCAGAAAATGATTATTAGTAGTAAAGAGAATAAAGTAGGAAAATTTCCTGAAAGTTGGTATTCAAAAGGGATTTTAAAGCAGGGAGAAGGAAAGGACAGTTTGTAGGAAAAAAACAAAATCACAAGGAAGGGATTATTAAATTAAGTGAGGGAAAAAATGGGGACTAAAGAAGAAAAATAGGAACTGCTCTCATTTACTTCACTTGCTCTTCTGTGGCATGATATTTTCTAGCAAGAGCATCGGGAGAACATGCCTGTGACATCTGAGCAAAAAACCCCACTAATACCCATAATAACGCTTATTTTCATTTCACAGGGACTCCAGGGACAACTCGTACGGTATAACCTTCTGCTGAGGGACACCAAAGTTCCCCAATAGTAAAATAATTTCTTAGGACCTCAGTGCTCACTGCACTGCAAATTGCAAATTTACTGCCCCATTCTTTACCATTAGTGCAAGAACAGTGTCTGAGTTCCATTTTCTAATCAAAACTATAATTCAGGTTTTGGTAGTTGTGAATAACACCATCAGCAGAGTGAGAAAAATTTTAAATGTCATTTTATCACAGCCCTTATTAAAAGCAATAGTGAAATAACCTTTCCTCTGGAGATCTGAACTGCCTTAGATGCTCTGCTTCTCAGAGCACCATATTCTTTGCTCATACCTTTAGAATCTTTCAAAGGAAAATCAAAAAGATATAGCACTGCAAAACTGTCCCCTCTCTGCATACAATACGTACAATGGTCTCCCTGCTGCTGCGTTCACACTGTCCCAGAAGAATCGGGATGGCAGGCAGGCAAGAATGTATGTGTTCATGTCTCAATTCAGTTCCTACTTACTTATCTGTTGCCTTGCAAAATGAGACTTTTTCAGTGATGCCGACCAAATTATGGTGAGTGACAGAAAGAAAGTCTGCACTATACATAGTCCATCCATGCAAGTTTTGGCAAAGTCAAAAAACTTGGAGAATTGATGAAAGCATTTCAGAAGTGTGGAAAACGATGGAGTACCGCAGCAAAGAACACACAGAAAGTACCTCTAAAATTGCCACAGCCTTCTGTTAAAAAGGAAAAAGCCAGACAGCCACGGTGCTTATGCCAGTAATACTGGCTTATGCTCTGTGCCCTGTTACGATACAGATGGAGGGAATTTGATGTCCAGAAATCAATTTACAACACTTTGAATTCCTTAGCAAAGGAATTTTCTTCCACACAAAGTTTATAGAGCTACACCAAAACAGCTGCTATGCCACATGAAATGGTTTTGTTCTATTAAGCATGATTTAAATGATTCATTCAATTATTACTTTTGTATTCAAAGATGGCTTATTTTCATGCAGATTTATGTCCCGTTATGCATAGAGGACATTCTTAATTGTGCTGAAACAACTGCAAATTTAATTAAAGTTTGCCATTCCAAGCATAAAATAGATTAAAGAAAATGCTGACAACAGTAAAATAAATATTCAACTATTTAATTTAACTCAACATTTATTTTTAATCCAAGCATCAAAATAACCTTGTTTCTAATTACAATTTCATGACAAAATGTCTTGCAAAAACATTTGTCTCTATTTTTCTTCAATCTGTTCAGCTGAAACACACTAGTTTATTTATAAAACTGTTGATTAATAAATCTGTTCCAGCTGTATTACTGTATGTTACAAAGAACACAGATTAATGTATGTAAACAACCATTATAATTTTAAAAAACCAAAGCCTTGACAGTCTGCAAAAGCAGAAATCCCATCAAACACATTACAGTGCAATTATATACCTAAATCTTAACAAAGAAGGAAAATTAAGGGGCAAACATAGGTAGTATAGTCCAGGGGTCTGACTGTCAGATCAACTACATGTTTACAAGTTATTTGCAGTTCCTTGTACTGAGTATTATTAAAGGCTCAAGCACAAGACAGTAAGCAAATCCTGAGTTTCATGAAAAGTTACACTCAAATGAGATATGAAGAAAGAATCTGTCCTGATTCTACTGAAACTAATTTATAAACTCCAATTAAGTTATGCCATTTAATATTAATTTTAATTTTATAGGCAATAGATTTTATAATTTATAGCTCACAGCCAGAGGAAGGAGTAAGGTAGACAGGTGGATTTCCTCCCACCCAGACCCAATAACTCTGGCTCTGACTAAGGGGAAAAAAAATAAATAAAAATGAGAAGGCCCTAAAAGAATGAACATTAATTTACCCCTTCACATTATTAGGAAGCATTAGTTATGCAGAAATAAATAGGCTTTCCAAGGCATGGCATACCTTTTCCCCAACAGATTTGGAGAAAGCAGAAGTGCCTCTACCAACCTAACAAATATCCCAAGAATCAGAAAACTTGGAGGACAAAAGGCCTTTTACCACATATTCACAATTTTTTTTTTTTTTTTTTGTAACTTCTGAAAGTATTGGCTTACACTCTTTTTGGTGATTTTCCTTTTCATTTTAAGGAACAGATTCTCAGACCTAACAGACTTCAATGGCATTATTATTATTTACATCAATTGAGGATCTGACAACATCCAGCTATTAACAAATTTTAGCACCGTCACCACTACTTTTAGAGGACACAACAATCACAGTATGTTTCTGGTTTGAAAGTCATGAGCCCAGCTGGAGCACTCAAGAGTGAGCATCACAAGCTTCATCCAAAGCCATCCAGGACTACCATCACAAACTGCCTGCCAAACCCTGTTCATTTCTCATTTTAATTACTTCTTGTCAATATACTTGAGCAACGGAAATAGCTAGATGCAAAATGTAAATGCTGCAAACCTCATCCCTCTAAGTAACTACCAGCAACTGGACTATAAAAGGCAGAAAAAGTTTCTTTTCGCTACAAAACCAAGAACGAAATACAGAAAGAGAGTTCTCTTGCAAAATTATATATTCAGCATGTATTGAGAGCAATTTGCATGTCAATGGACCATCCTTACTGTGGGGCAGGGATTCACCCATGACGTTACTACATTTAGGTGTAAGGAACTGTGACGTCTATTTTCATGTTTACCTACATTTCTATATCAATCAGCTATATATGCAACAACTAAGAAAAACCCAAAACCAATCAACCCATCCAAAATGAAAGTTTCAATACATCAAATGAGTAAATTAAGTCACTATAAGGGATTATTAAACTCTTCCATACAAAAAGAAGCAATCAAGAAGGGGGAAAAGCAAGGAGCCAGTATTTTTCAGACAGGAATAAAACTGGAACCCTCTAAACCAAAAAAACCTGAACTGAACAACAGCAGCTCTTTCCTGGTTTATTTGTCAACACATACCATAAAAAGAGCTTGATTCAGAGTCCACTAGAACTGGTAGAAGAAAACCTACTTGGATCTAGTCCCAAGTAAACGAATCATTTTACACCAACACCTTTAGAATATTTGAGATCAGCTTTCAGCATATTTTCCAGTTCGCAGATGTAATTACTAAAGCTGCAGGTATGCAGATCAATGCAGCAATGTTGCCAGGAGGCTGGAAAGCTTTGTATACTGATCTGGAAATGAATATTTTATTGTTCTAAGAACTTCAATCCACAACACACAGCTACTGTATTATCCAGTTACTGACACAGAACAGTAAGTAAACTACTGTAGTGTAGTATAGAGTAATAAACAACAGTAACCTTTCCTCATTTCTGAACACTGACTTCTGATATTAAGGTCACCGGTATTAACAGGTATTTGTAAGTTTCACTGTTCCATAATAAAAAAAAAAAAACAAAAAACCAAACCACAACCCCCCCCAAAACTTGCTTGAGCAACCACCAAGTCTATCAATCCAGAACTATTCTGGAATGACTAACAGTTCCTATTTTATACTTTTTATACAAACACAATATGCATAGAGGAAATTCATAAAACCATTTTCCTTTTTGTCTGTGTTGAAAGATTTATTTTAGAGAACTCTATATAGTATTATTGACTGAAACCCTTTTTGACAACATAATAGCCTAAAAAAAAGCTCAAAATACTATGAGAAACACAGACTACACTGCATTATATAGTCCAAGAGACTTTTAGACTATCAAGTTTCAGACTACTGAAGCCGACAATAAAGCTTCCATGACATGAATCAGCCTAGACTTTTTTTTAGTATAGTTCATAAATGACATGTACAGCTGTTTAAAACAGGAAGGAATATCAAAAGATAGGCTTTCACATAATCAGCTAGTAACAAAACAGCTTAAGGGTTACGAAACCTCTACTACATAAACCAGCACGACATTATTGAGGACCCATGGCACTTTGCCTCAACTGAGAACCCTGCCATATTTCTGTACACATTTAAATACATACTTCACCATCATTTCCTCAGAAGGTTTGGGGAAAAGAAATCAACCACATGAATCGCATTATATTATGTGGAATTACAGATGAAATACAAAAGAACAAGGGTTTCAGACTTCTAATTCAGAGGCTCTTTGATTATGAATAGTTGGCTTACCTGTTTAACATCATACGCAAGAAGAACAAATCTTAAGTCTGGTGAAACGGAGTATCTTGATGCTTTGAATGTTACCTAAAATGAAATAACAATAAAAGTGAGTTTGCAATAAGTAGGTTTGGTTTTTTCCAAATTTTGTTACAGTTAATTTAAGAACTTCCCATTCATAAGACAGGTCTGGCTTAGAACACATATGTAATTTTCACAAAAGAAGGACTCATAATTCTTAGTCTAATTTGCTGGTATCAGTGCAATGCCAACAGATGAATCTGACTTCGACACTAAATACCAATTAAGAAGTTGATGAGTTTTTTATCATGATTGCAAGCACTAAGCTCAAGGATAGCAACTATAACCAGTTCATTTACAGAGGATGATGGAAGACACTTTGGTTGGTGTGTACCTCAGGAACAATTATAAGGGAGATTCAGCACTAGGTTAGGCTTAAAGATAACATACAAGGAAAATAATAGGTGTGCACTATGTCTCTATTGCTTTTCTTTTACCACCACTTACATAAACATTTTGCAAGACAACTTGCACTAAAGAAAAATTCTTTCTTATTAGAAAGAAAACGCTTAGTGAAGAGCAAAGTGAAACATAAGGTAGCATTATAAAACTAATAATGCTTTATATCTATCCAAGACCACATGACACCCAATTGAATTCAGGGCTGTAATTTAATCAAGGGGTAATGTTGATGTCAGAAAGAATTTAATGCATCTAATGTATGAGGAAGATAAGAATGTGCTTTAAAGGGCACTGAAGGAAATAATTTTAAATGAATCTCAAGACAACTACTTGCAGAATGAAAGGAAAAGGGAGAAGTAGTGAAAAAATGCAGATAAGAACAGAAAAAGAAGGATAGAAAAAATATCAGAACCACAGAGGTACAAGATGAAAGTAAATAAACTAATAGCTATGCAGAACAAGATCTATCTACTGTTCAAAGGAAGGCTTTCCCTTAGTTTACTTCTTAAGCATCCTGTTCCGTTTAGCCTAATCCCACTGCTAAACTAAGGAATTCAATAGGGGTTTAAGGTACACAAACCAGAAGTCACAAACTAATACGTTCAGAGTAGCTAAGGAGCTATTACTGGAAAAAAAAAAACAAAAAACCCAAACAACAAAAAAGTGCAAAAGCTAATCTTCCAATAAACTGAGAAAGTGCTATGTTTTGATATACAGATTAAACTCAAGTTCCTAGATAATACAATTAGAATCAAGCTATCCAAAGAAATCAAAGGGAAAAAATTAGTTTTGAAGATAAACTGCGTATGTAGTTTGATGCAAAAGCATGACAGTATCTAAAGTTACAAGATAAATCTGCAGGCTTGAGGAAAGAAGAGGAAAAAAAAATCCTAAAAGTATCCTTTTGAGTGTACAAAGCATTCAGAACAGATTTCTACTGTGCTCAAACTAGCTTTTATGAGTTAACCATCTTTAAGCACAGACTACGTTAATGTTAATCTATGAATAACATTCCTTTTTCTTGGCACATCACTGAAAAAATTTTTGGATGTGAAATTTCTCTGCTTTCTAGCAGTTTATCAATTATTGCCCCACTACCTCAGTCTTCAGCGATATATAACCTAGGCAGCTCTCCAAATTCATTCTCAGGGAGTGTAGCGCTTACCGTTTCATGCATTTAGTAAGAATCTTCAGCCACTGATTATGCCACCACAAAAGTAATGATGCACTTAATGCAAACACCTGAGTAGCTCAGCTGCAAACTATTGGCAGGTAGAGGCAACACCAGCAAGAGCTGCTCACATATTCTATATCCAAGTATAGAGTCTTTGAGTCTATAGAGGATTTGGGATTTAAAATCATTTGAATCCTACTGAAGATGGCCTTGTTCATTCAGCTTGCACTCACCTGCAAAATTTGTTTGCCTTCAGAAATGCCTCAGACACATGGTACATATGCAATGCCAATAAGCTATAATCTCTTGATTGCAGGTAATGGTTTTGGCAAAATAGTTTTCTTTTTGTTGGTATAATGGCATTATTCTTGTTAAAAGGAGCATAAAGGTGTCTCATACTTTTTAATGTTTCACTTAAGAAACAATAAAATAAAAATTAGACCAGCAGAAATCATCTGTTCATTGCCAAAGCTGATAGCTATGCTAATTTCTTTAAATTATCATAAAAACATAATTAGCTTATTTTTTAAAATTGGCTTTATAATCAAGCTTTTAAGGAAATACATGTTTAATACTAATAGAATTTCAAAGAGACTTACGTGACTTAAAGTCACTTAAGTTATTTATATTTCCTTAGAGGTCTGGTTTGGTGGTTTTTTTGGTGAAGACAAGCACAATTTTGGTGATAAATTCAGAAACTGTCTACTTGTACACACAGAAGAAGCCCTTCTAGATTAACAACAGGGGAAAAAAAAAATCACCTGACTCACTCCTCCTGCCTAACATGGCAAGTAAATGCACAATCTGTGATTTCACTAAAACAAAAGACAGATTTTGGTTTTTCCCCATAAACACGTCTAAGGCGTTTCATCAACCAACAGATGCCTGACTCCATGACTGAGGTAAGATCAGCTGGTGATGGGCTTAAAAGAAAGTCTTGGTCCCTGCTGTAGGAGGCGAGACATAACCACTCAAGGCCGTGGGAGATTGTCTGTTGGGACATTCCCTACAGGGATTAGATATACTTATTCATTAAAAAGAAGTTTGTGAAAACTCTGACCCCAAGGGTTTGTTCTCCTCTCAGGAGAGCACGTTTTTGAGTTTTAAAGAAAGTGTTGGAAAAATATCATATTGGAAACATTGGGAATTAAAAAACCTCGGGTGTCTTGTTATCAAAAATCTGGAGGATGCTTGTTCCGCTATCATGTCTGCATATCTGCAACTTTTCAAGCTTCTTGCTTTGTCAGGAGCCATTGAGCCTTTGTTCGGGAAGACAGACCTAAATGCTGCCCCTTATGACTACGCCTCTGTGGTTTAGCTGTGCTTGATCTCTAAGAAATGTAGCTCTGGACAAATAAGCTCTGAAACGGAGAAACATAGGTCGCTAATTAGGCATGGTCCCTGGATGCAGCAGCAGGGCTAGTTTCCCACCATATCAGCTAGTTAGGAGGCTGGGGGTAATTCAACACTGCTTCACTGTGCAGTCCATATATACCCTTATCCCCTTTCCAAACCACAACAGAGGAAAAGCAAAAAAGAAGGAAAAAGGGGAGGTAATTTCCTTATGTCCCTAATATTTGTCAGTTCTGCCTAGTCACATCAAGACTTAAAATCCATAGGAAAACCATCAGCTGTATGCAACTAGAAAGCACTTCGACCAGATAAATTGCTGGCATCCCTAAATCAGTAACATTTCACACTGTTGCATAGTTCTGAGCCAAAAAAAATGGTTTTTAAACACCTGTACACTGTCTTCCCTTCATAATTCACTAATCTGTCATCCATTTTTCCTATATTGCTGAATTTGATGTTTCGTTTTTTCAAACATGAAAAAATATATATATTCTATATCTGATCTGGCATTCCTCACCCAACCAGAACCCCCACTGGCTGTGTATTTAGGTCTAACTATATTAAACACTGCATTTCTAGGTTTCTTTGAAATACCTCATGTAATAAAGAGCTTTAATTCTGATGATGCAGGATGTGATGATCCCCTGGACAAGCCATGACTGCTACTCTCCCTGTCACCATAGACTGCAAGGGTAAAAGCTAAACAGAGGCAAAAGGACACAGTGCATTTAAAGAGTCTTTTGCCCTTCAGCTCCCCAACCAAGTGATTCTATGATTCCATAATTCCAGCTTCCTTCTCTCATCCATATTCCAAATATGTCTTGCTAAACATAGTTTTGCATGGAAAGAAAAGATGAGAACAGATTGAGACAGTAAGAGAGAAAGTAAAAGAAGTGATTCTGCAACAAATAAATATGAATGACAACCCACACACACACACTATTGGCTTTTCTTCCATTTTTCCGTATGGATGATTAAAATGGAAAACAAAATTCCAATGACAAATATATTCTCAGGTTTGATTTCCAATGTCAATATTTTGCATTGATTTTTTTTTTTTTCATTTTGCATTTTATGTGTGCTTTGCTGTTAAGAGAAATGCCTGTTATGGTTGTGTTTAAGAGAAGTTTTAGGCTGGGTTTAGTTTCTGCACCCTCAGCAAGAGCCCCTTAGCATCAGCTCCTTTTTATTTCTTCTGTTTTCTTAATGCGTAGTTTTGAGTTATTTCTGTACTGGCTACTCTCTTAATTTTTGCTCTATTCTTTCATGTACTATAAAATGTTGTCTTTACTATTTTTGTGGATTTTAACTACTATAACATTTAAATAGTGCCTTATTCATACTCTTTCAAAAATATGCTATAGAGCAGACAGATGGAAGTTACCTGTAATATAGCCTAGCCCAGAGCTGTAATAATACATCCTTATCAACTGTCACACACTTTATAGTAGTCTTTTTCTCATAGTTTCAGTTGGATAGTTTTAAATGAAATAATACCTCACAATTAAAACCAATTAGAGGAATTTTTCACTTCTGCAGAGTTTGCTTATTTGTTGTTTCGTTTTTTCCCTTTAGTTTTACCCCTCCTTCTGTTTCAGTTTCTTGTACTTCTACTTTTCCCAGAAACTTACAGCTTCTACAATCCTATTATTTGTCCTCCTCCAGTTATTGATTAATGCTCACTTAACACACACTTAGGCTTTAAGACTTCTTATTTTTCATCCAGAATAAAATATTTCAAGACCTCTAGACTGTTACTTTAAAGCTTGGTGTCAATACTACTACTTAGGAAATTATACATCTCTCTATATCACATACCTGCATCTGTATCAGAATTTTAACTTACTGGTATAACTGAATAGCGATGTATGGGAGTTCATTAGCATTCATAAGTATTCAGCTCAACTTGTCAGACAGGCATTGACCAAATGGCAATGCATAAGAGGAATCAGATGGGACAGAAATATGCTAGCTGCAAACTGACAAGGCATTTGGCATGTAGCAGTTTCCTCGGGTGGTACCAGCAATCAAGGGAGCAATGGGATTTTCCTTCCATTACCACTGCTGTGACTGAAAG